TAACAAGAACAACACAATGTTAACAAGAACAACACAATGTTAACAAGAACACCAGTCCCCACTACTATACTCAGGTCTTTGTGGTAATTACTTTTGTTTGTTCCCTGAGACAGGGTTTCTCTGCGTGACAGCCTTGGTTGTCCTGAAACTCACTTTGTAGACCAGGCTGGCCTCCAGTTTTACAGATTTCTTTATCAATGATCTTCCTGCTTTGTGATGACTGTTTTTAATCAGCAGTGTGACACAATCCAGACTCTCTGGAAGAAGGGCATCTGAGAGTATCTGACTCGTCTTTCTTCACTGTGGGCAGCACCATTCCCAGGGCTCAGGGTTCCCGATGGAGTAGAAAGGAGGAAGCCGGCTGAGCAATGTAGACATCAGCGCACTGCTCAGCTCTTAACTGTGGATATCAAGTGGCTGCTTGCTTCAAGTTCCTGCCGCTTTAACTTTCCCTCAGGGATGCACTGTGACCTAGAACTGTGAACCAATAAATCCTTTCTCTCTTAAGATGTTTTTGTTTTTTTTTTCTAGGTATCTATTTAATCACAGCAACAAGAAACAAATGTAGGACAGGGCTTTCCAGAAATATTTAGTAACTGGAATTCAGGAAAGTTTGAAGTTTGAAAGAGAATAAATCATTTTTATATATGATATATTTTATACCATATACATTTAACTTTATAAACTGTTCATTAGTTAAACATATTTCACTACATGAAATGTTCATAAAAGGGAATATTTATACAAAAATGTTAAACGGTTACTTGAGATTAAAGGTGGAAATAGAAATTAACTGTAGATGGGTTAAGAGAGTTACCTGTGTGATGAAAATCGCCTAAAACTGGATTAAGGTGACATCAAACTTTGTAAATTTATATAAAAAAAATTGGATTATACTCTTAAGCTGAGTGAATACCTCTATAAAATTATGAATCCTAAAAGCATATTCTTGACTGTCAAATTCTGAAAAGCACAAATATACTAACAGAGTCACTTGGAAAGGACACCCTCCAAGGTGTTGAGCTGCCTGTGGGCCGTGTGGGATGCTCCAAGTTTCCTGGCTTTTGTGAGCTGTCACTCATGCAGGGGTGGGCCTTGGGGAGGCAGCTGTCTCTGAGACACGTCTACTCCGGTAAATGACCCCTGACCACATTCCTGTAAGTAACCCCAATAAAACTCATTGGTTCACCAAATTGGACTTTGGTGTTATCCATACTGTGATCTGTCATGGGATCCTTATTTGGGGTGAGTAGATGTGTGTGTTGTGTCTCCCCAGGAAAAGTTTTGTCACACAATACACTCTGGGGTGGACTTTTGGCGATGGAACCGTCTTTGAGTCATTTCTGCTCTTCTAGGTAACCTTTCACCCATATTCCTGCAAATAACCTCAATGAAACTCATTGGTTTATCAAGTTGGACTTCGGTGGTATCCTTAGTTGGTCTGTCATTAGTTCCCTGTCTGGGGTGAGTGATGTTTATCTACTCTCCCTGGAATAGTGTTAGGTAACAGTGGGTGACACCATTCCATGGGGTGAGGTCCTGGGCTACACTAGATGAGCACAAGCCTTCCTAACTTCCTGGCTGTCACTGCTGCTGCAAGCTGCTACGACTTCACCGTGAACTTTACCCTCAGAATGTAAACCAAAAATGAACCCTTTTGTGGCTGTTTGAATGAGAATGACCCCAAAAAGTTCATCTATTTGAATGCTTAGTCACCAGTTCGTGGCCTTGTTGGAGTTGGTGATGCCTTTTTAGAAGAAGTGTCACTGGACATGGATTCTGAGGTTTCAAGAACCCACACCAGGCTGTCTTTCTCTCTGTGCCTGATGCTGGCAGATCAGGATGGAAAATGCTCAGCTACTGCACCAGTTTAATGCCTGTTTGCTTTCTGCCATGATGATCAGGGACTAATCCTCTAAAACGGTAAGCAAGCCTCCAATTAAATGCTTTCTTTTATGCCAGGCTTGGTGGCACACACTATTAATCCTAGCACTCAGGAGGCAGAAGAAAGTGGATCTCTGAGTTCGAGGCCAGCCTGATATACATACAGAATGAGTTCCAAAACAGCCAGGGATACACAGAGATACCCTGTCTCAAAAAACAAAGAAAGAGAGAGAGAGAGAGAGAGAGAGAGAGAGAGAGAGAGAAGAAGGGGGAGGAAGGAAGGAAGGAAGGCAGGAAGGAAGGAAGGAAGAAGGGAGGGAGAGAGGGAAGGAAGGCAGGGAGGAAGGCAGGCAGGCAGGTAGGGAGGAAGGCAGGCAGGCAGGCAGCAGGCAGGCAGGCAGGCAGGCTGGCTTTCTTTCTGAGCTGCCTTGCTCATGGTGTCTCTTTACAGCAATGGAACAGTGACTAAGAACCGTTCTCCCTTAAGTTGCTTTTGTCAGAGTATTTGACCACAACTGATGGAAAAATGATCAAGACAGAAGACCAGCTATGCTGTATTATAGTATTGTATGTTAAATTACAAATATATAATATATTTGTCAAAATATTAATGTGTTTGGTTTTGGAGTACCCATCCAGCCCTTGCTGGATGTACCACTCAACATACAACCTAGGACCACTCTACCTTTCTCAAGTCTGGGCAATTATGAATTGTGAAGCACATGCTACTCCATGAATGCTGGGGAACTTCTGTCATCCTGCAGCTGTTTAATATCTGGTAACAACTACCATAACTACAATGAGGAGAATAGTACACTGGAATTACATCCCGGTAAAATGAGGAGTTAAAGAAAGTAGCGGAAAATTTCACCACAAAGCCAGCAAGATCAAATAAACAAGTAGTCTGGCTCCCCAAGGCTCAGAAGACACTGGGGCGAAGGGGGTGGAGAGAATGTTAAGAGTCAGGATGTGGAGGGGTGTGGTCATTACACTCGTGAATTCACTGCAGTCATGGCCACCTGAACAAGGTCAAGCCAACAAGATCAGTCAATATTCTAGCAGGGCAACACTACAAAGGACTCAGCGGTTCACAGCAGACAAAGCAAAAAGTGGAAGAAAGGAGGACAGGCTAGGGAGTATCTGGGGATTGGGAAGGCCAGGTTGCAGGGAGATACAATTAATATATGCATGTATAAGATGCTCAAAGAATATACAACAGAATTTTTGAAAGAATTGGGGACTGAAGCAGTTCCCAGCAACCAGCCATAGGTGGCTGCACTCTGTAACCTCTACAACCCACTCTGCTGCCTAAACCCACCGACCCCATCCTCCTCCCCTTGGCCAACCATCCCCCACAACATGAGCAGCCCCTGTACAAGCACCACCTACACCAGCTGGAAGAATATCAGGTCCTATAGGCAGAAGGGCCGCCCATACCCGTTGGAAGAACAGCAGCCCCTACCATACTCAGGTATTTCTAAGCCAATTTATTCAGCTTTCCTTCTGTCTTTATGTTCTCAACTTCAGGGAATTTAGGACACATAACCTCTAGTGCCACATTTCTTCCTGTTCCTAACATTTGTCCTCAGCTATCCCCATAGCCAGCTCCATCTACTCCAGACAAAAGAAGAGTCTCCACTGGCAGGGGCACAACCCACACCAGTAGGAAGAACAGACTCCATAAGCACAAGTAAAGACCACACAAGCCAGAAGAACTGGAGAATACGCTGCATTTAGGCACCCAAATACCCACAAACCTCAGTTGAGACAAGCCTACTGGATCTGAGGACCAGACAACCACCAGAACCCTTGGCCATTCAGGCCAAAAAGACAATAAAAGAAACACACAATAAAGGAACAAAAGACCCAACCAACAAAGACATCACAAGAATAAATACCTGCACCTATAACTATCCCAAACCTAGATGGGTAAAGGGCAGTGTAAGAATACAGGCAACAACATAAAGGGCAATATGTTACCACCAGATCCCAGTGGTCCTACAACAGCAAGATCTGAACATCCCAATGCAGATGAAACAGAAGAAAATGAACTTAAAATAACTTTAGAAGCCCATAAGGAGGAAATGAAAAATTCATTTTAAGAAATCAAGGAAAAGACAAACAAAAAATTAGAAGAAATCAATAAATCCCATAAAGACAGACAAGATAACCAAGAAAAAGCAGGTGAAGGAAAGAGTTCAAGACTTGAGAACTGAAATAGAGGCAATAAAGAAAACACAAGCCGAGGGAAATCTGGAAATGAAAAATCTGAGTAAATGAACAGGATCTACAGATGTAAGGATGACCAACAAAATACAAGACATGGAAAAGAGAATCTTAGATGCTGAAGATATGATAGAGGAAATAGATTCATCAGTCAAAGAAAATGTTAAATCCAACAAATTCTAACACAAAACATCCAGGAAATCTGGGACACCATGAAAAGACGAAACCCAAGAATAATAGAGATAGAAGGAGAAGTATCCCAGCTCAAAGACACAGAAAATATATTCAACAAAATCATAGAAGAAAACTTTCCCAACCTAAAGAAGAATATGCCTATGAAGGTACATCTTACAGAACACCAAATAGACTGGAATCCCAAAAAAAGTCCCCTTGTAACATAATAATCAAACCACTAAACATACAGAATAAAGAAAGAATATTAAGAGCTGCAAAGGATAAAGGCCAAGTAACATATAAAGGCAGACCTATAAGAATGACACCCGACTTCTCAATGGAGACTCTGAAAGTCAAAAGGTCCTGATATATGTTTTGCAGACACTAAGAGACCATGGATGCCAACTCAGACTACTATACTAAGCAAAACTTTCAATCACCAGAGACAGAGAAAACAAGATATTCCATGACAAAACCAGATCTAAACAGTACCTATCCACAAATCCAGCCCTACAGAAAGTACTACAAGGAAACCTCCAACATAAGGAAGTTAGCTGCACCCACGAAAACACAGGCAATAGATAATCTCACACCAGCAAAACCCAAAGAAGGGAAACACACACACTACCACCAAAAATGACAGGAGTTAACAATCACTTGTTATTAATATCTCTTAATATCAATTGACTAAATTTACCTATAAAAAGACACAGGCTAACAGAATGGATACAAAAACAGGATCCATCCTTCTGCACACTTCAACTTCAAAGACAGGCACTACCTTGGAATAAAGGGTTGGGAAAAGATTTTCCAATCAAAGGGACCTAAGAAGCAAGCTGGTGTAGCTATCCTAATATCTAATAAAATAGACTTCAAACTAGAATCAATCAAAAGAGATCGGGAAGGACATTACATATTTATCTCAGGGAAAATCCGACAAGATGAAATCTCAGTCCTGAATGTTTATGCCCCAAATACAAGGGCGCCCATATTTGTAAAAGGAACACTACTAAAACTTAAATCGCACATCAAACCCCACTTCACCAATGGACAGGTCTGCCAGACTGAAACCTAACAGAGAAACAAGAGAGCTAACAGATGTTATGACTCAAATGGACTGAACAGACATCTACAGAACATTTCACCCAAACACAAAAGAATATACCTTCTTCTCAAAACCTCACAGAACCTTCTCTAAAACTGACCACATACTCGGTCACAAAGCAAATCTCAACATATACAAAAGAATCAGAATTATCTCATGTATCTTATTGGATAACCATGGGATAAAGTTAGGATTCAACACAAACTACAGAAAGCCTTAGACACATGGAAACTGAACAACACTCAGTTAAATCACCACTGGGTCAAGGAAGAAATAAAGAAATTAAAGACC